AAAACCTTCACTAACTGGAAGGGTTTCAAGGACTCACTAGCAAAAGCTATGGACTCGCAGGACTCCCCTAATTACCTATCGTCGGACTTAGACTTAGACAGTCCTGTAAAAATCGACACCGCGGTCGAATCACTTTCAACCCTAATTAAATCCTCCCTTAAGGAGAATGAAAGGGTCGTCCCGGTTGCTAATACTAATGGGCTTCCCCTATATATTAGCAACATATTAAAAGCTAAAAAAGCTGCTTTCCGGAGAGCAGCTAAATATCCCACCCCCGAATATAGGCATACGGCTAATCGTCTTCAACGAAAACTCCGTTCGCACCTTTATGAATTTCGAGAGCTCCAAAGGAGTGAACTCATGGAGAATATATCTCCCTCACATACAGCGTACTATCAGATGGCTAGAGCCCTCCGTATAGACGCTACAACTCACACTCCCCCTCTCTCCCGCCCCGACGGTACGGTTGCCTTCGAGGACGACGAGAAGGCTGAGTGCTTTGCAGACAGCATTGCCGCACAATGCTCTCCTAGCTCTCAACCTGTCGACCCCTCACATATTCAGGAAGTGGAGGATGAGGTCCGCCGCCGGAACTCACCCCCCACAACCTCTGACCCTATCACTGTGTCCAATGATGAGATCTCGACCCTCATCAAAGGACTTAAGCCCAAAAAATCTCCGGGCGCGGATGGCATATCCAACCAAGCCCTTAAATACTTTCCAGAGCAGGTGTTAACCCTCTTAGCTATTATCTTTAACGCCTGTTTTAATCTTAGTTACTTTCCCACTTCTTGGAAAGAGGCAATTGTCATTGGTATTCCCAAGCCAGGCAAGCCTCTTAACCTCCCCTCCAGTCATCGTCCCATTAGCCTCCTAAAGGCCATGGGCAAACTCTTTGAAAGAGTCATTCAAAATCGAATGAGGCGCCATCTGTTTCCCACAGACGGTGACCCCATTGTCATCCCACACCAATTTGGTTTCCGCGCAAAACACTCGTGTCCACAACAGGTACACCGCATTGTGGAATATATCCTCAGCGGTTTTTATCCACGTCGACTAAAGACAATCGCGGTCTTTTTCGACATTGCCAAAGCCTTCGACCGAGTCTGGCATGAAGGCCTTATTTTCAAATTATATAGGATAGGACTCTCCGATCGTCTAGTACGTCTCGTAGCCTCTTATTTACAACATCGTACCTTTCGTTTTAGACACGAAGGCACGTTATCCTCTCAGCGCCCCATTAAAGCTGGTGTTCCTCAAGGATCAGTACTAGCTCCCCTCCTGTACATCTTGTACACCAACGACATTCCTATCCCGTCGAATGGTGTACAGCTCTCACTCTTCGCAGATGACACTGCACTATACTTCAAAAGTCCTAGAATATCTTCAGCAAGGAATAAGATCCAAAAGTCAGTCGATGACCTAGGAGACTGGTTCCAAAAATGGCGTATCGATGTGAACCCGGAGAAGAGCTCCGCAGTTCAATTCGATATTAAAAGACGCCGTAATAAAAACAAGAAAAATACTCCACCTATACGAATGCTAGGGACCCCTGTCCCATGGCACATGTCAGCAAAATATTTAGGCGTCACCCTTGACTATAGGCTTACTTTTGAGTCTCATGTCAAAAGAGTAACGCGTCTAGCACGTTTCTATTTAGGTCGGCTTAACAGTATGTTAGGCAGACATAGCAAAATGTCACTACGAAATAAGCGAACCCTCTATAAGGTTTGTATACGACCGGTTATGACTTACTCGGCTCCTATTTTTGCACACGCTAACGATAAAATTATTAACGAACTCCAAGTAGTTCAAAACCTCTTCTGTCGTCGAGCTACGAACGCACCTTGGTACGTCCGTAATGCCGACCTTCACCGGGATTTAGAAATCCCAACAATCCAGCAATGTCTTAAAAAATTCTCTGAAAACTTCTTTAAAGTATCAGAGTCGCATACTAACACACTTATTCGTGAGGCAGTTACTTATACCGCCCCACTCCCTTCTCGCTATAGCGTCCGCAGGCCGAGAAACACTCTCTCGGACCCGCCAAATAAGTTGTCAAACGACCTGAACTGCCTCCTGGCGGCTCAGGCCAATCCTAATTAAATTAAAAATTAGTTAAAATTAATAATATGCCTTCGTAGGCAGTCCCTAAACGGCACTTAGCCGTCTGCGCCCTCTTTTCCCAAAAGAGGGTCGCTTTAGATACGGCATATGCAGCTTTAATAGAGCTAGTTGCCAGTCCCCAAAGGCGGTTTTTAGTGGGTATCACTTAGGTCCCCCGGTAGGCAGTGAGTCCCACATAACCAGGACAGACCGGCTGTCGTGGTATGCGTAATGCATTTTCCGCCTCCCTTCGGGGTAGCCCATTTCCAATTGCTTCGGGCGCAAAAAAAAAAAAAAAAAAAAAAAAAAAAAGCTCGCCGCTCACTTAGCGGTTAGCCACCGTAGAGTCTATATCACCTGAGGATGCCTCGTGTAGAGGCGAAACACGTGTCGTATTATCGTCAGTGGTGTGTCTTGCCTAGTGTAGTGGTGTTGGAAGTAGCGGTGCTGGGATTAGTGGTGACGGGGATAGTGCACGCAATTGAGGGAGGGCGGGAGGTGCTTCTTCATACTAGGTAAGACACATCATTTTATTTTATAACGCGGATATTTGCGAAGTAAATTTTGTAAAAGCATTTATATAATGGATTTCCGCAAAGTAACGCCTGATTCTATTAATTATAAGTACTTGCTTTTTCTCCTGATCCTGAAAGGCGTCAAACCCGCGACCTGTTAATTTTATTTTATTTGCCTTTTTTATTATTAGTCAACTTAGTATTTTTTCTTAGAAGTATTTATATTAGTTCTTTTTATAAGTCGTATTTTACATATTACATATCTCTTTAGAAGTACTTATATTAGTCTAGTTTTATAAGTAGTGTTATAAAATATTCTTAAAAAAATTGTTGTTATTATTTATTTGTTTATCAAATAATATAATAACGTGACATTGGCGCCTCAACTCGGTTATTCAGGATCAGGTATTTTAGTGGTGTGTGCGTGTATATTGTAAACCTTTTGTTTTTTTTTATGACTTTTATTTTGCTTTTTATACTTTTAGTGGTATCCTTATTGTGTCTAATTTGTATACGGACAAAAATAAAATATTTTGGTTTTATTAATATATTTAATAGTAAGCTTTATTAAAGCAAATATATACTACAGTTGCATCCTTTTGTTGCATTTTTTTTCTCTTTATTTTTTTGCTTTCCCTTGTAGTAATTTTTACGACCATCCTTAAAAAAAACTTTATTGATTTGGGATTACTATTACCAAAATTGTAACAGGACGGAGGATTCTTACTCAAACAAATTAGTTTTATTGTGTAATTGTAGAATTTTAAACCTGCTCACATAAACCTAGTATAAGGATTTTCTTAGACTTTTAAATTATGTCATACAAAATTCAATTCTTGTCCTTACAAAAAAACGAATTAAGCTATGAGGTGGCCATTAGAGGCGGCACACCCGGAGAAAACGTTCAAGAATTACGCAGGCAGAGAGTCAAATTAGCCAATGTGATGCCTTCGGATGATATTATTGAATCTGGGTTTGAGTTTTCTGTAGACGTAGAGGGAATCCGCTAAAGCCTTGTTAAGTAGAAACGAATTTAAAAACATTATCAGTGAAATATGATAAAAATTTATATAAACGTACTCAAAACTTACTCAACCATTTATTTCATAGGATTCAACGTCTGGATGCTGTAGATAAAAAGTCTACAGATATTCTAGAAAGCCTCAGGCTCAAGCTAAATACAAATTTTAAATACTTAGAACATCTCAAGCCTGATACTGATTCCTCATCTGAATTTACAGATGCTCTTACAATTACACCGTCCCCTATTGTCGTTACATGTGATCGAGCTCATTCTTCGGACTTAACTAGTATTAAGTTTGATGGAAAATCGTGCCTACTTTCGTTTATCCAACGTGTAAACGACTATATAACATCCCGTGGTATTCCCTCTTCTAAAATTATAGATTTTGGAACAGAAATTTTCGTTGGTGATGCTTTACACTGGTTTCGCAGTGTAAGATCACATGTTACGTCTTGGGATAGATTATGCGAATTACTGAAGGATGTTTTTGTTATTCCTGATCATGATTATCGCTTATTAGACGAGATAAAAGCTCGTACGCAAGGTGAAACTGAGAATATTACTATTTACCTAGCCAGTATGTCAGGCATGTTTTCCCGTTTATTTAAAAAACCTTACGAGAAAGATCAGTTAGAAATTATTATGCACAATATCAAACCGTGTTATGCTAGCGCTTTAATTGCAGTGCCTGATCTTAAATTTATTGAGGTCTTACGTACGGCTTGTAAAAATTATGAGAATGTACAGCAACAATGAAAATTCAGCCACACTAGCACCCGAATTTGCATTTAAGCTATTCACTAATTTAGCAGAAAAAAATAAAATGTACTATTCTACCACCAATAAATTTAATTGCAATAAAGCTTATAATAATTATAATAAACCTATACCTAATTCAAGTAACCTTTATAAAAAATATTCTCCCAATTCTAATGTTTTAAACAATACTAATCCGCAACGGCAACAAAGAGTTTATGGTAATAATAAAACAATTGACGCTATACAATATGACGAAAGTAAACAAAAGTTTTGCCTCCGGTGTCGTGTTGATACACACAACTTAAGACAATGTACAGAAAAACGCAAAGTATTTTGTTTCAAATGTGGCCGTGATGATTACACATTTTACACTTGTCCAGATTGTACAAGTATTCCGTCTAGTTCAAAAAACTAATAAAGCAGAATTGTAGCAACCTCGTCAACCACTCTAATAATACCGATTGGAAACAGTGGTTGAAATTTATTAATAATTTTTTTAATAGCTATACTATATTAATTACTATTATATTACTATTTATAATTATTAACACTACATAATAAATACTCACGTATTAATTGTATTTACCTACGTCAATTTATTTATGTTTTATTTTTTTACTTCTGCTGATTTCTTTACTTTTTCCTAAGCAACAAATCGAGACTAGAGCTTTGAAACCAGCCAGTATTAAAAGTAGTAGTGCAATGTACACGAGCGCGATGTCTAGATTGATGTACTGATACAACGGAACGTCGGCTGCTGCGGTTCTGAATGTGAAATTTGAATAGCGGGCTGCAAATTCTGTCCAGTATATGGCGGCGTCTAGCGGAGGCAACGGACGATCGTGCCAAGCCTTTGATAGTAGTTTTACATTCTCGCGGAATCTGAAAGTAAATTTAAGCGTTTTAAGTAATTTATTCTGACATCTTACTTTTAAAGTGCTGCTTCTATTTTACTTTACGCTCTCCTACGACACCCACAGTATGATAAGGGAAATGCGAAAGAGAAATATGTAATCCTAATGTTTCCGTGTTTCTGACAACTTAATATTACCTGGGTCCTTTTCTAACCAGAAGTCTGTACGAGTTAGTACTACCCTCTTCTCTATTTTTGCGGCTAAGCCGCTGTGTGCTTCCACTACTGTGTTTCGGTGTAAAATGTAAGAGAACCAGTAAAATTGATCGCTGTGATATTTTGCATTTAACAGAGGTGCTAACGCATTTATGGCCTTTTTATTGGAGGTTTGGTTATCAAGTAAGTTTTTTCTTTTTGTCGAATAAAGGTAATTAAAGAGCACACAGTCTACCTGATGGTAAGTGGTTGCCCATAAATATCTCATCTATACGATGACGAATCAAAATACAGATGCGTGAGGACTATGTCGAAATGCCTAGTTTCCGGTAAAACGGGTCGTCGGTTCTCTACATAACCATACGAAACACGGCAGCGTTAAGCTGCTATTTTACGCAGGTATTCTGTGAGAGCTTGGTTCTTCCCCGGTCGAGCCGACTCCTTCGTGCTACAACTATAACATTAATATATCTGCAGTATGGCTCTACCACGTAATAGATATATCACCAAAAAAAAATTACCCAAATCTGATTTGAGATGTAATATGATTCTCAAAGATGTAAACATTAATTGGCTAGATCCACGTAAAAAATAAAATGGCGTGCACCATTATAGTGCACCAAATATTAACTAGATATGTAACTGCCATCACTTAATGCATAACTACTACATTACAAGTAAATCTATACACAATTTTATTTTTTACCACGTATCTTTATCATCATTACAGCCTATAAAAGTCCACTACTTAGCATAGGCTGCCCTATATTTGCTTTTGATACCATGTTCGGCAGGTGGGTTGACAATTGCAGATTTTTACATTTAAGTAGTTATCAGAAAGATGCTGTTGCGCTTATCCTGTTTCACGATAACCTACAGGATGATATTGAGACAAGGACTTAAATAAGACGTGTTTTTAACTTAAAATCTAGGAATTTTCAGCGGCGTCGTAATTAAATAACGATTTCTAAAAATTTTCCAAACTCTACTCACTTCGGGTCCATAACCTTCTTGAACGCAGTGACCAGATTTTGGTTCGTTAAATCCCTTATTTGTAACTGCACACCAAGACCACTCTCCTCGATCGCCGCGGCATTCGCTGGCTGATCTCCAATAACAGGCATCGCTACCATTGGCACACCAAAGTGAATTGCCTCAGTGGTACCACCCATGCCGGCGTGCGAGAAGAACGCTAAAGTTTTCGGGTGACCTATCATAAAAAATTAATAAGTATTTGGGTCATTAATGCATAGGCGTCAAAATTAGGATAGATAAAGTATTTTTGTAAAATGTAAAGTTACAGACTATAACACCTCACTGTATTATGGGCCCGAGCTTCCTCATTTTTGAGAAGGTTGTGGAGCAATGATTCCGCCGCACTGCTCCAGTGCGTGTTGGAGGACTTCATCGCTCAGCACGTTGTTAATCAGTATTTAAAATTGCGATTAAAAAATGTATTAATGTCGGTTCGAACTTGGGTCGTTCGCAGTCAATAATGAAATGTCTTTGTAATTTTGCAGATTGTTACTACTTTTAAATTTAGTTTTAAAAAACATACCGTTACCGTTACAGCCTATTAAAGTCCACTTCTGAACATAGCCCCCCCATAGATAACCTCATAGGGGTGATATTTGCCATAGTTGCTACGCTTGGCAAGCGGGTGGGAATCTCTATTTTTCTGCCGACTTCAAAAAGGAGACGGTACTCAATTCGACTGTATGTTTTTTTATGTATGTTACCTCATACCTCAACCGATTTCGATGATTCTTTTTTTATTTGAAAGCTGGTACTTCACATGTGGTCCCATATAGAGTTGATCAAGGTCTGACCAATAGTCTTTGAGTTATTCATAATAATTTATATTGAAGTCGCTTGCACAAAATGTTTAATTTAAAATTATTATTTTTGTCGTTATTAGTAAGACGCTGTTGCCCATCTCCTGATTTCTTTCCCTCTGTCGCCTCTTACGACACCCACGGGATGATATTGAGAAATATACATTTATCTACAATATTAATATTCTTACAATACAATTACACAATAATAATAAAAAATACAATGTGACATAATAAAGTAAAGAAAAAGTATTGGTATATACATATTTATAAACTTAGCTAATATTTACCTAAAATATCAACCTGAGGTAACCAATCGAAGGTATAAAGTTTATTTTTGTCGACGTGCATAGTTTTATTTTCCCACTTCCAAACAAACCTTTGAGGTAATTCTCTCATAGCACCCAGTACCGCCTCGAGTTTGTCACTGGGCAATGATGAACTTCTGATAACTGATCCAAAACTAATGTATATAATACCGTTCTCCGCTTCCTCGATAAACTTTTTCAGATCCTGTCAATAAATACTTTTTCGATAAATTTCAGTTACGAACAAAATATAGTACATGTTCATACTTTACTTCAAAATGCTTATACTTTACTCAAATTCACATTTGTTTTCAAGTTTTCATTTCAAAACCGTTGTGATAGCTCTGCTTTCTATTAATCTAAATTTTAACGCTTATTTATTTTTTATTTATTTAAAAATCTTTATTGCACTTAAGATGTACAATTGGCGGACTTAATGCCTTTAGGCATTCTCTACCAGTCAACCACGAGCTAAACAGAGAAACTTAAGCAGGTGCCATAAAAACTTGAGAATATATACGTGAATGTAAATATAAACATATACATACTATACTTGTAAATACAAAAATAAATATATATAACTACAAATAACATAAATACTATACTCTATACATGATACATAAACATACATAATTTTAAACAATACATAATACATACATTTTAAGCATACTTACATACAAACATATTATACAAAAACAACTTAAGTAATTTATAATACTCATTATACAGAAACATTTAATTAAGAAGGTCAATTGCTGAAAGAACAAAGGTAGTGATCAGTCACCATTCTTTTAAAGGCTGCAACAGAAGTCGGTTTCCTGATATGAGGAGGTAATTTATTATGGAATAAATTACCTCCTCATATCAGGAAAAATATTATAATTTACACTATAAAAGGCTAATTCAATATTATCAGTATAGTATACAGTTAAAAATAATCCTACTACCCAACTACAATATCTTATTAGGTATAGTACCGCCTCGTTTGTCTAGTGGTTGTAGTAGTGCGACTGCTGATCATGAGGTCTCGGGTTCGAATCCCGATACAATAATTGGACTTTAGGGACCTCAAAACGTAGATAAGATATGGATCTTATCTACGTTTTGAGGTCCCTAAAGTCCAATTATTGTATTTTTAAAAGAAAGTTCGGACGTTGGTGAACATTTTCATCTTGTATATCTCATGAATGGATTCCAAACTAATTATATTAGTTAATTAAATTAATTAGTATTATTTTGCACGGTTCTTCAGTTTTTTTTTTTATAACAAAGAATATATATATTTCATGAAAATAGTCACCAAATAGGCACGAAGTTGATAGAGTTAGCAGACAAAATCACATCCTCTTTATATGTAGTAGGTTAGACCGGTGTAGGAGCAAGCTCTCACACCAGAATACCAGCGTAAAATATCCCTACGAAATTATGTTTCATTTGGTGAGTGTAGAGAACTGGCGACTCTTTATTGGAAACGAGGCATTCCATCTTAGTCTTCAGGGGTGGCAATCTATGGGCCACAGAACAACAAAATATCTATGGGCCACAGCATCCACTTACTATAAGGTGGACTGTGTCACATTTATTCTATATAAAAAAAACCTTTTTACGCATATATTATAATTTTTCATTATAAATAAACACCTAAACTTTCAAGGCTTAATTTTATCATTTACTTATTTGCTTGATATTTATTCATATAGTTTCAATAAGACCTAAAATACCATTACTTACTTAACTGCTATAGGCATTGATTAAAAGTTGTGTTTTTTATAGAATAAGTGTGACAAAGGAGCATATAGTCTACTGACGGTAAGTGGATGATGTAGCTAATAGACATCTACATTCATCCTCGATTAAGGATCAAAATGAAGACTATATAAAGTTACCTGTGACATACGAGTAGCAATCATTTGTCAAAAGCATCTTTATTTGTAAAAATAAAAATAAAAAAGGTCTCCAGTTCTGTTCGCTCAAAATACGGACCATTAGTAGCATTAAGATGCTATTCTATGAGAGTGTTGACCTTTAAAATCGAGTCGATCGAGTACTGCAACCATAATATAGCATAATATAGAGCAGCGTGGCTCTGCTACGTACAAAATTATTTATTCAATATTATACTAGCATGATGGTATAAAGAAGTAATTTATTATGACCGAGATCTACAACGTTATGTTACATATATCTACATACTTATACTTACACCTGTTAAGGGTTTAGCTTTTTGTACATGGTAACCGCCAACTTCAATGACATTAGCGGGAAACAATCTCGAGCCTGTGAGAACAAAGTTGTGATACAAGAGTAGAAATTTTATTTCGCGCGCTAAATCCTCCAATGGAGGAATGTCGTTGAAATATCTTGCGAGAGTATTTTGATCGCTCCTTTGTGTTACAAAATAGTAAATCATTCTAAAGTAAAGGTCGAACACAACTCTTTCTAGTCTTTGAACGAGTGTCGGCTTAGTTCCCCCTTCGAGAAAATGAAACGACACGTAAGAAGGATTGTAGGGTATACCTAACCTACTATAATGCCAAGGCATTAATATATGAGACGTTACACCAACAACTGGCGCATTTAATTTGTACGCAATTCCTAGAGCACAATCACTGTTAAATTGTTCCACAACAACGATATCGAACTTCGGTTTTTGTTTTATCATGTTCTGAACTTCATTATTAGCTAGCATTACTTCACAGTTTTCTTTTCCAGTTGTTGTAAGAAATATTCCAACTTGCAGGACTGATATATAAGATCTATGTACTACCAAGTCGTCTTCCAATATCTTAATACTTCCCGCTAAACTAATGTCGTGATAATTCTTCGGTGGTTCTTTTTCGGGAAAGTGAGAGATAACCGTTAAATTATGTCCTCTTTTCGCGAGTTCTCGTAAATATACTCTATGTACAAAGAAATGGCTTTTGCCTTGGTATGGAAAGATACCTAAAATATTTAAAGAACTTGCACTATCTAGAAGTACGATTGTTAAAAATAATGAAATGAGTTTCATGGTCGCGTAAAGGCGTCCGCTTACGAACAGATTTAATTTGCACTGACGCTTACGTAAGTGTCTGTGACTGGATAACATTCTAATTCATGGCGCGATTAACTAACGCACACTGACCTCTATATACAAGTACGCTGGACTGGCTATGCCATACAAAATGTTTATGCCGATTTGAAGCGCCCTCATTATCCGTACCGGGAACTAAAATTGATATAATAATATGACAAAGTCTGTTGTATTATTTAAATCATATCTCTATATTTTGAATTTTTAAACTAAAAATGAAAGTATTTTATGTGATTTGATTGTTTGATTTTAATTACACAATAAGAATTATTTTTAGTAATAATGAGTGTGTGCGTAATAAACGTGAACAGCACCACAAAAACACGGCCCCCATTTCCCGGTCACCCTATTATTCCTGACCGTGGTGGCGGTCATGGCAACAGCGGGGCAGGGGGTGCAAAGAATCCCCGGGAGAGGACAGGTTACCACCAAAAACTGGACTTGGAGACGTATAATGGACGGGCTCTGCGGCAAGACGGAAGCATTTACGAACTGGAAGCTGAGCTGAAATATTGTAGGGTAAGTGAAGTCTGAAGAGAGGGGGAGGACACACTTACCCTGCAATCCGGCCATCTGCTCCACTTTCGGGAGGGAGACGGCCTTTCCCAAGGCGGAGTAGATTTCCTCGTTCACAGGATCCTCACTAACAATATTGTAGAAATCTCCAGGGTGTCGACATGGGTAGCATACCTTGTACTGAAGTTATTAAAGAGATACTCTCTGAAGATCGTACAAGTTTATGCCCCGGCCTCAGCAAATTCGGATGATGAAGTTGAAACAGTTTATGAAGACATTTCTATGGCCTTACATAACTCCACTAAGGCCCACTACAATGTTGTCATGGGGGATTTTAATGCCAATGCAAAAGATTTTGGGACCTCACATAACAAAACAAAAAAACGAGATTGACTTCATCATGATGAACAAAAGCACATATTCAGAGATGTCTTAGTGATCAGCAAATTTAATACCGGAAGCGATCACCGCCTTGTCCGAGGCACTCTGAATATCGATTTTACGCTTGAAAGGTCCCGATTGTTGAAGTCCACCCTTCGACCAAATCTGCTTTAAACCGTGACTGGCTCCCAACGCTTCCAGGTAGAATTTAAAAACCGATTGGATGTCTTGAGATCCACGTTAAGCATTGACGAGAAACTTATCAGCGTGATCAAGATCTTAAGGGATGAGGGCAACAAGGTTTGTGGTAAGCAACATATGGGCCAAAAGTCGAAGTTCTCAGGTGAGACACTTCAGCTTATGAACAAAAGGCGTGAGTTAACAACTGCAACGCCATCGGAACAGGTGACATTAACCAAGCTTGTGAGGAAAGCTGTAAGGCGGGACCTGCGTCGCTCTAATGCGATTGCGATACAAGCAGCAATAGAGTGAAACAAGGGTTCCAAAGTCTTTGCTCAGGAGCTTGGGAGAAGTCACATCGCAAGACTGCAGATGCATGATGGCAAAGTCCTCAGGTCAAAGCCTGAGGTTCTCTCTGAGATCGAAGAAAACTATGGCAAACTATATGAATCACATAAGCCACAACCTGACCCTAAATGCGATGATCCCAGAGCCACGCTGATCCGCCACTATACCGACGAGCTGCTAGACATCTGCTTTGAGAAGATTGAGCTGGCCCTCGGCCAACGTAAAAATGGAAAAGCCCTTGGAGAAGATGGAGTTACAACAAAGCTCTTAAAGTCTGAGAGTAAACCCTTGCTAAAAGAGCTCCGCCGAGTTTATAACTGCATCTTACGAGATGGGAGAACTCCAAAGGCGTGGAGCAGAAGCATTACAGTCTTGTTTCACAAGAAAAGTGACAAAACTATGCTGAAAAATTATCGACCCATCTCGCTTCTGAGCCAAGTCTATAAGTTGTTTTCTAGGGTCATCACAAATCGACTCGCACGAAGACTCGATGACTTTTAGCCTGTGGAACTGGGTTTCGAGGAGGATTTGGCACCATAGACCACATTCACACAGTTCGGCAAATAATACAGAAGACAACAGAGTATAATCAGCCCCTGTGTCTTGCATTTGTGGACTATGAGAAAGCCTTTGACTCCATCGAAACTTGGGCTGTTCTGGATTCTTTGCAGCGGTGCCAAATTGACTAGCGGTACATCTAAGTGCCGAGATGTCTTTACAACACCAATACTATATATAATATATTCCAAGTACAGGGCAGTCAAATAAAACCAATCCAGTTGTATTGCGGTGTGAGACAGGAGGATGTTATATCCCCTAAACTTTTTACAAATGCACTGGAGGATGTTTTTAAAACTGGAAAGGACGCGGCATTAACGTAAATGGCGAGTACATCTCACACTTACGCTTTGCTGATGATATCGTCGTCATGGCAGAATCACTGCAAGAACTTCAGGACATGCTGAACAGACTGAATGAATCCTCCCGACGTATTGGTCTGTGTATGAATCTGAACAGGACGAAAGTCATGCCAGTTCCAATAACTGTTGATGGGGAAATTCTCGAAGTTGTCCAGGAATATACCTACCTCGGGCAGATATTGCAACTAGGTAAGAATAACTTCGAGAAGGAAGCCGATCGGAGGATTCAGTTAGGCTGGGCAGCATTTAGAAAGCTCCGTCGGGTTTTCTCTTCGCCCATACCGCAAAGTCTAAGGAAAAAAGTCTTGAACGATACGGTGCCGAAACGTAGACACTGACGACACGGCTACTCCACAAGCACAAAGTCACTCAGCGAGCGATGGAAAGAGCTATGCTCTTAGTTTCTCTGGTAGATAAAATTCGAAATGAAGAAATCCGCCGGAGAACCAAGATTACTAACATGGCCTTCCGTGTTTGTAAACTGAAGTGGCAATGGGCTGACCACGTCTGTCGCAGAGGTGAAAACCGGTGGAGTAGACGTGTTATGGAGTGGAGACCACGTCTAGCCAAACGTAGTGTGCGACCCCCCCTGACCAGCGACAATCTGCTCAAGGTTGCTGGTAGAAACTGGATGCGTGTAGCCGAAGATCGGGCTAAGTGGCGCACTTTGGGAGGGGCCTATGTCCAGCACTGCCGTTCTTATGAAGAGTGCGATAACTAGGTTTTGGTTATTTTCGAGATAATCGCATTTAAAGATTTTATTTTTGTGTGTATCTTTGTAACCATGATAGCTATTGACTTGAAACTTTTACTATATGACAGACAAAATGATGCAGAATTCTATGTAGTATATTATATTTTTATACATATTTATATAGGCATTAAAAACGCAATAATGTATTTATCTTTAGGAGTGTTAATTGTTTTGATAGAACGTGACTAATCATAACCGTAATAAGTAGACTACTTATTGCAGTTATTGTTAGTAAACCGACAAATTGCTCCTGTTGTTTCTTCCTATCATAAGTGCAATAAATGTCTTAGTTATTGTGGTTTTCATTAGTAATATATTTTTAATCAGACACAATGCAGCGGTGGCTGATTGCAAGAATATTATAAGTTTATATGAAACATTTTTGAAAAAAAAATTCTGCGGATGAAAGTATTCATTTTTAATATTAACTGTAGTGAAAAATGTTACAAAAATATCACTTTACTCCCTAAAAATAAAAAAATAAATAGTTCAGACCATTTTAAGTGTTTTCTTTTACTCAAATTATATAATCAAAACTTTATGAAAGTAAATACAATCTTTGTCGATAGAAAATGCTTTGGTCTTCTTCTCTAATTTGTATGTAGCGTAACTTGTTTTTAATATTGAATACATAGTTTACAACTTTCTTGAAAACGTTCAATATGCGAATTATGCGTTAGAGCACACTACTCACATCCCTCGATGACCGAGTTGACCAAAGGAAATGTCAATTTATTTTACAACCTTGCGATATATCTCGAGAGATATCTGCATATTAGTATATTTTTCTATAAAATATGTTAATAATATATTATATTACTTAAATATTACGATGATGCACCAATATATCATCGTTATATTTAAGTTACTGGATAAATAAAACTTATTGGGAGCATGTTCGCGGCAATAATTGTATGAATATTGTTGGATTTAAACTTTGAAAATGTTCTTTAATTATGTTTTTGTCTAATGAATTTTTACGTTCATAGCTTCCCCGTATGTCTCTTTGGTCTTATGAACGTGTGTCTATTATTTGTTGGCTTATATCCAAGTGTTGTCAGAAAGAAAACCTGACAAACTTTAATTTTTTTTATTGTTCACACAAAAATGATGGCGATAAGAAATATTTCATTTTTTTGGTGGTTAGATTGAGCGTTTTTGTTCGGGTTTTTACGACATATGGTTCAACCATGCCTTTTATAAACACCCCTCTTGACTCTTATATTTGACTTGACTTAAATTTACGTACCTATCGTGGATATCTATTCAAATTTCTTCTGTAAACTTTGTTATATTCTTTTTTCTACGATTACTGTCACATGGTGGTTTTAATGCTAACTTTGCTTTGCAGCGCTTTCTTTCGTCTGTTCTCGCGTTTGGTAAGTTCTTTGACGCAGCACCCACCAGTTTCCCTGCTGCTGCTGGGCGGTACTGTTAGCCACACTACACTCTCGAGATCGATCACCTTCCCTTTCTACAGTTCGTTTAGGGCAGCTGGATCGAAGATGGCCCCTTTCCCCACAGCCGTAGCACCTAGGGCTGTAGCCGTTGTTGCGGTCCCGAACTGTAGCCGCTGCAACCTCCCTGACGCGGTGGGAACGATGATCCTGCCGCACGGCTTCCACCTCCAGTGCATAGGTCAAGGCGTTCTTAAGCGTCTCGTGGTGCCCGAGCCTCACAGCAGCTCTGACTTGTCGCAGATGCCGTCGATGAATGTCTGCACCAGGTTCCCTACAATGAGCGCAGGTACAGACTGGTATGCTTTTCGAACCAGTTTCTCCACCTCAAGGGCCCACTGCTGCAGGTTTTCGTTACTGCGTTGCACGCGATCTTTGAGC